AAATAAAGACTCCCACATTTATTTAGACTCCATGGCAGATTGTATTTTCCAAAGAGGGCCATGTTGAGATCTCCCATTCCACATGTTCTGGTTACCGACCCTCCTCACACTAAGACAGAGGGTCTCTGCTATTTCCCTTTGAACATAGGTGGGGGCTTGTGTCTGCTCCAGTCAATGGAATAAGGTAGAAGTGATGCTATGTGACTTCTCAGGCTGGGTCACAGAAAGGAGGCAGTCCCTCCCTCTGGGACACACTCTCTGAGAAAGACAACCACCATGTTGTAAGGAAGATCAAACTAGCCCATATGGAGAGGAACAGTGGCCCCTAGCTGACAGAGAGCATCTTCCATGAACACATGAATGAACCAGGCTCCAGATAACTGGGTTCCCAGCCCTTGGGTCTTCCAGCAGAGACTCCAGACTCTGTGCAGCACAGATAAGCCATTCCCCACTGCCCATCTCATACCCTAGATTCACACAACACAGGAGCATAATAAACTGTTGCTTAGTGACGTTAGGCAGACCTAGGAAGTGAAACGGGTTCCAGAAATGTGGCCACAGGATGAGCAATGAGCAATTCCAAAGCTCCACCCTCTCCGAGAAAGACTTTCACCAATTGACTCTATGTATCCATTTGGTATTTGCTTTTTATTTTTATTTTGGCAATACCAGGCTTTGAACTCAGGACCTTGCACTTGCTAGCAGGCACTCTACTACTTGAGCCATGTCTCAGCTCTTTTTGCTTTATTTTTCAAATAAGGTCTTGCTTTTTGCCCAGGTCAGCCTGGACTATGATCCTCCTATTTATACTTCTTGAATAGCTTCCTGAGATGACTGATGTGCACCACTGTGCCCAGCTATTGATTGAGATGGGGGTCTCATGAACTTTTTGGCCAGGCTGGCCTTGAATCACAATCCTCCTGACCTCTGATCTCTGCTTCTCAACTATCTAGGATTGCAGGCTTGAGCCACGGTGCCTGACCTCCATGTGCTCCTGTCACAGGGCACAGATGGACTCTGGGGACTCTGCTCTTATACTCTGCCATTAGATGGCCAGCACTGTGAAAGTCATACAGTCTACCACAGTCCTCCTCAATACCTGGTACTGGCTCAGAGCTTTCATAGGCTCAGAGCCTGTGGTACCTATTCTTCACAATGATCCTTATGATAGGTATTTCTAGGTAGGAAGTGAGAGAGGATGAGAGTGTATAGGGAATTTGCCTAAGACAAATTAGAGAGCAGATGGCAGAGTCTAAGGCCAGAAAGACAGATGACCTGTCCAAAACCCCTCAGCTGGTAAGACACAGAGCTGAGGCTGGATAGCTGGGTGATATTGACCCTTTTGACAGGCATCAGCAATTGTCCAACTGGTTTCTTGATAAAATGTCGTGAAATGCCTTGCACCAGAGACAATGAAGCCCATACCAGGTCACATATGAGGAGGATTCAGAGATGAAATTTTTCTCTATGTTCCCAACTCTTAAGTCTGAAGAAACATCAGGGCCCTAAGATTGAGCATAGAAATGCCCATGGACCCCTGACAGGTGCCCCCCCCCATCTTTCCTTTCATCACAGTAGAACCACCTATTAGCTCCTGTAGAGCCATGGCTTTGGTGTCTACCTTTTTACTCAGCCTCATGACCACTGTCTCCCAACCACATGTCTTTAGCAAGGCCAGGCTGTTCTGGGGATAGAGAAACCAAAGGGGAAAGTCAATGACAATCCAGGCAAAGTGCTTCCTTCCAGAACTTACTACTACTCACCCTATGGGGAAGTATCTGTAAGTCACCAGCCAGTCACCAGAGAGAAACTTTCCCCTCCCAAGTGAAGAGTAGGTTTATCCAAAAGAATAGTCTCTACCACCCAAGTGTGGTGCTGGTGACAACACAATGACACAAGGCATCCTCCATGGCCTCTGGAGAGGTAGCTAGAATCTTCTCTAGAAATACTGGCCTAGTTATGACAAGAGCAGGGGCAAAGGCCCAAGGCAGCCTTCCCAGATATATTCTGCTCTACCATCTCACCTAATTCAAAACAGCTGTCAGCCTGACAAAATATTAAAAAGAAAGCTTTATTCTCAATCCCCATACAGACTCTGAGTTTCTACACTAGTTATAACTCTCCACAGAACCACAGGACATAACCCTAGCCATTACAGGAAAGAGCTCATGGATGTTCTCTAAACTGGGGTGAGATCTTAGCTTTCTTGGAGTAGAGACACCTTTGTCTTTGGCTCTTGTCCACAAACAGGCTGCTGCCTTCTTTGATGTATAGGACTCCTATATAGCAGCAAGGAAAACTCAACCAAAGGAACGAAATATTAAGATTCTCTCTTTCTCTCTCTCTCTCTCTCTCTCTCTCTCTCTCTTTCTGTGTGTGTGTGTGTGTGTGTGTGTGTGTGTGTGTCTTTCCTCTCTCTTCTCCTTCTCTTTCTCACAGACACACATGCACACCTAACTCATTAGGGAAAACATTCTGGAAAATGTTCTAGAAGTTCTTGCAAGTTGCTGAAAGAACATTTCCAAACCATTGCCCCAATACCATCCACCAGGTATCCAGTTGGTTTTAGTGTCTAGGGTTCAGTGTAGTGCTTCCTAAGGGCACAGTGGCTGTGCACCTCTTCAGCTTCTTCACTTCTGTGAAGTGTTTTATGTTCAAAAACATATAAGCAATGGATGAGGCTCAGGACACACAACCCCAAAACATGGGACCTTGGCATTTGAGAAAATAACAGAAAAGGAAGGTCACTCTCACTCCCCCCCACCCCGCCCAAAGCAGATCCTAAAACTCTCATTGGAGGGGGACCCTCCTAATACCCAAAAGGAATATGCTGATCTCTGAAGACACAGGAACACAGAGAAGAATCTGAACAGAAGGATCAAGCTAAGCTCCCTTGGTTTTTTACCATTAGATCATGCCCCTTTGTCCAGGCATACCTTGCCACTTTGGGTCTTCATTTCCTCATGAAGGCTTCTGTGTCATGTTAAACTTACATTAAATAAATGCATATGCCTTTCTCTTGTTATCAGCCTTCTGTTATGTTGCCTCAGTCATGAGCTGAGTGATGGATAAAGAAAAGACATTTCTAGCTAAAGATAGAACTGCCATATGATCCAGTGATACTGCTCCTGGGCATATGCCCAAAGGAATATAAGTCAGTATACAATAGAGACACCTGTACACCAATGTTCATCACAGCACCATTCACAATAGCCAAGCTATGGAAACAACCCTGATGCCTACAACTGATGACTGGATCAATAAAATGTAGTATAGATACACAATGGAGTTTTACTCAGCCATAAGAAATAATGACCACACATGGTTTGAAAGTAAATGGATGCAACTGGAGGACATAATGTTAAATGAAGTAAACCAGGCTCAGAAAGACAAAGGCTATATGTTTTCTCTCATCTGTAGAAGATAGATCCAAAAGATAAACATATACACTAAAACAAACATGAGCATCACAAACTGACACATAGAACATGTTTACATAGTGGAGCTACTCTATGGAACTTGGGGAAGGAGGGAAAGGAAAAGAGAATGATAGAGCATCAGTAATATCATAAAACAACATCTGTGAAGGTAGAAGAAATAAGGATATGTACTGAAAGCTGTTGAAAGATGGGAAGTGGGAGGTAAAGGGGTAAGGAAGAGTAATGGAAGGGGTTGAACAGATCAAGGGATACATTGAGAAATCCCTCTGAATATCAACTTAGATATTAATAACAAAAGACAGGACTGTAAAATAGGTACAATGTGGGGGAGAGGTACTTGTGGGAGGAGGGAGGTGAACAAAGGAGATTAAGGTGAAAGAATATGTTGATTGACATCATATTCTTACATGAAATAGAACAAAAATCCTCTTACAATACTTTTAAGTGGGATGGGAAGGAGGTTGAGGGGGAGAGAAGGTGGGAGTGATCTAACCAATGTACAATATAAACCTATATGGAATTGTCACAATGAATCCCCACTGCACAATGAACATATCCTAATAAAAAATAAAGAAAAAGAAGATTAAAAAAAAAGAAAGGACATTCCTTTACCCCTGCACAACCATGAGCTTCTCTAGAGCAGCCTTTTCTTCCACACACATCCCAAAATGTCCAACTTGAACACCTTTCTTCCCATGTCTCATATCAAGGAGTTCAAATCCACTTGTGCCCATCCCCCACTCATACCTGCATTGCTCTCCAGCAGTTTTCTAGGTCTCAGTGATTGCCTATTATTGCCCAAATCCCACTTAAATTTAAATCATACATGCAACTTGCTACAGCCATCCTTAGGAGGCAAACTTGTTTTGAACAGGTAACTCTCTGGGTTGTTTGTGGAGAGCTGACCAGATGTCCCTGAGTCCCAAACCTTTTACCTAAGGGTGGCACTTTGGAGAGGCTATGAGAACAACTTGTGTAAGAACAGGAGGGACACTACTTATCACCCCTCCATTGGGACCGGATCTTATGTTAATTAATTTAACATCATAATACATCTTGATTATACAAATGGAGAAAGAGTTGATTCTAGAAATAAGAACACATAGTACAAGAGCCCAAGAAACAAGTGTTTCTCACAAACATGGTATGATTAAGAAGACCAAGTAGAAATTCTACAGCAAGAGAAAAATACAGGCTTTTGTCCCTGTCAGATATATCCAGGCAAGAGAAGGATGGGAAGCAAGGGCTTCACCTTGCACGCAGGACATCCTGATTGCTGTTTTCACTCTTGAGAATAGTAAGTTACCCAGAAGTCACTTCTGTGTCCCTGGTATAGAGCTTGCCATTCCTGTGTTTTAACAGAAATGTTACACCTACTTCTACTTATTTCTCCAAATCACAATTTGCTCTTACCAATTAAGCAACTAGGATAATTTCATTCATGCCACTAACATCATGGAAAAACAGCTACCAAAAATAAACCCAAAATCTTCAAAACTCAAGCAAACCAAAAGATTTACGTCAATAAGCAGAGGTCTTTAAAAAAATGTTTAATTTTACCTGTGGCTGTAGCGAATGGCTATGGTCAGTCCAAGCTGTAATTAAAGAGAAAAACACAAATCAAATAATATCAAGAAACATGCTGAATTCACAAGAAAATAAACTTAATAGGCTCAATTTTTTTAACCTTTCTAAGGCACTTTATTGCTAATGCTTCAGAAATAGTACATTAATGAAAGAATTCTTGGTCTCAACTTCATGATTTCATTGTATTTTGAAAGGGTCTTGAAGAAACCTAGAATATTTCATTGTGGATCAGATAGGCTGCATCCTTCACCAGAAACAACTTGCAGAATGGGCTCTTTGAGCACAGGAACAGCAGTGGAAGGGTGATACAGCAGTGTGTAGCTGATGCCAAGGTCTGCAAAAGATATGATTGGGTCACCTCATCACCCCTACCCCGGGAGCATGGAGTAGAGCCCAGGCCACCAAGGAGACTGGTCCTCTGGGCCAGAGACTCCCTGGGATCAGCTGACCAGATGTCCCTGAGACCCAGCCCTTTACCCAAGGACGCTTTGGGGAGGCTATGAGCATAATTACACTTTACACTGACCCCTCCAGTTCAAAGCAGCATGCCTCAGCTCATAGGACTGCAAAGAATACAAATGTGACATCAAGAGATCCTGCCCACAACTGCTGGGCACAATGGCAACTGGAGGTTGAGGCAAAACTATGGTTTCCTCTATTCCCGGAAAACCTCTCAAGCTTACATGGGGGGTCAAATCATAAGGTTGGTCCTCAGCCAGTTCACACAAAGTCAATAGTAAATTACAAAAGACAGACCAGCCAGTCAAGTTCAGCTACATCAGCAAGTTACTGAGATTCTCAAAGCCTCAGTTTTCCCAATGTAAAATAAGCAAAGTAGCTGTTTTCTCACAAGAGTAATGTAAGCATGAAGCAACCAAAAGATATCATTGCTATGCAAAAACTCTAAGTATTACCTTAAAATCCCCAAACATCATGGTTTCCTTGAGAGCTCCTAATAGGATTGGAATGAAGAATGGTGACATGAGGAATCCCAAGCAGTGGGAGGGTAGAAAAGGTGGGGAAGAGATAGAGGGAGAACTACACAAGTAGAGTAGAGTTGAAATAAAAACGCTCAATGCCACTGTCTAGCTGGACATACTGCAGAAGCCATTCCATATCGTTTGAATACCTCAGTTCCATAATGATGCAATCTTATGTTATCACTGCAGGCATCAAAATGCAGGACTAGTGATGATGGTGAGTCATCAAGAATCCAGGCAAATAGACTCAAGTTTACAAAAAGAATTCCCAAAAGCGAAGACATGGAATATAAAAAATCAAGTTGATTTCATATTGCACTCACCTGAATTTATTTAATTAACCTATCTCAACTAAACTAGAAGATATTTTCTTTGGGACTTCAGCAAACATAAGAGAAAGATGCCTGAGGGCCTATCAAAAACGTAAAGTACAAGGAGGAAATGACTTTGGGAAAGAAAGAAAAGCAGAAGCTGTATCCAAAAAGGTCAGGATGAGCAATTTACAGATTTCACATGCTGGGTCACTTTACATTTTCTGGGGTTAAAAAGTTCTGGCTTACAGTTCAGCTAATTATAAGATAATTTTACCAACTGAACATTTTGATAAGCTTCGGAGAACAGTTTAATTGGTGACTTTTCCACGGCTGAAAGATAAGCCCTTGCTGGAGTAGGGAGAGGAAGTGGGGAAGGGAGGGGCAAGAACAAGAAAGCTGAAAGTTATTCAATGGCAGTTGTGCTGATTAAAACAGGCTGGGAAATAAATCTTTCGCAAAGGTGAATTTTAATGAAGCATTTATATTTGCTCCTTTACAGCTTCTGAATCAAATGTACTTTGTGGTCATTTTTTAAAGGACGCCCTTATTACAGAAGAAAGTGTGAATCATGGAAACTCTGGTGGACAGTCAGCTCGCAACAAAGGCCAGATCAGCTGCAGCTCCCTGCAGGTCTCTGTGAGGACAGGCTGCGAAGGGACCAGGACAATGGGACACATGCAAAGGCCCCAAGGCAATAGGGGTCCAACTTATGGACAGGAACAAGGCGTCTCACAGTTATTCTGGAAACATGGCTGGACTCCACACAGAATGCACTGGACCCAACCAGGTAGTCCTGAAAAAAGGGCAGGCCAGTGTAGAAAAGTTCTTGTGCATCTCACTTTGAAACCCCAGGTTGTAATGGGCCAATGAGGCAAAGCTGGCTATTGAGCTGTGTGAGACACTGTGCCTGCTGTGCTTCATTTCTATAGAGGACGTGGGGGAGGGAAAATACCTCTGAGCTTTCTGTACCATGGCAAGTACCAGATAAAGGCAATGTACAACCTGCTGACAGATGAGCCAGAGACTTTCCTTCATTCCCAACTCTCTGAGGGCCCTCGCTCTGCTAAGATGACAAGCCAGGCAAAGTGCTTCCTTCCAGAACTTACATCAGCAACTCAGACATATGGTAAGCAAATTTCACACACATACATGCATGTGTTCACACACCCACACATAGCACCTGTACACACATGGGCACATTCATGCATACACAAGCATGCACACTGACATGCACACACCCACACTCAAACATGTGCATACTCTATAGTGCATATGTGTGCACATGCTATTCAAATGTGCACATATGCATGCATACACTTGAACACATGCTTCATGCACACATGGGCATTGCCATCACGTGTGCACACAAGTACACATATACACACTCATAAAGATGCATGTGCACACATTTATCCATGTGCATGGATACACTTTGCATTCAGCAAGGCCCATAGAGCCTCTCAGACAAAGGGAGGCCTCAGACAATTGACCCCTTTGTTGCTAGCCTCAACAGGGACCCAGAGGAGAGAGAGGAGGGAGGCCATGGGCTGGCCCCTGACCCCTGCCCAGCAGGGCAGAGGCCCTGGAAGGTGGAGGTCAGAGGGAATTTTGTGCTGCCCTCCCTAGGGAGCAACCCCTCAGGACATACTGTAAGTGCTGCCAGAACACATTTAACAAGCTCCCCTTCAGAGCACTTCTTTTTTAGATTTGCACAATTTGTTAGTAACAGAATTAAATCACATTTAATGGCAAAGAAAGAGTAATTTCACATTTTTCAAAATCTCCACCAGCTATAAAAACCTTTTTCCTGCTGCTTCAGCCTGAAAATGCTCCTTTTTTGGACCAGCTGACTGAGGCAGCTGTTTTGTATCAAGTCTGGGGGTTTTCTCTATAACCCAGGGAGCTCAGACAACAGGCAGCCCTTCCTGCATTAAAGGGTAATCTGAGAATAATTTGCCATAAAACACCCAGAAGTGCTCCAGCTGTAGCCAGATACGCCCTATAAAGCACCATACAGACAGTATGCATCTTGTAAAATAATAATAATAATTTCTTAAAACACATTTAAAAAACACATTATAAATTTCTTTAAAAGAAAGGAATGGTTTAAGCTATCACAGAAGGTAGCAAGGAGATTCTCTTCCATCTCCACAAATTGCCAGGAAGCACCTCTTCCCAAGTGTCTATTTGAGCATAGGTCCCTGTGTCATTGGGAGTCACTTGTCTTTACATGTGTGCTGTGCTTCTTGTTTAAGATTCTGTCTGTCTGTCTGCCTATCTATCTTTTACACACACACATACACACATACACACATACACATAGGCTGCCTGCCAAGAACAGGTGAGGAGAACTTCAGTTCAGAGCCAGCCCAAAAATCTCTCAGCTGGTAAGTAGTGTTCCAAGCCGACCAAGTCCAGAACTTTCTGGACCAGAGACAGCACACACCAGGGCTCCAGGACCTATGTGGGGCTGTGACCAGAAGCCAGGCCCTTCCACAGGGGAAGTCACCAACCACCCACATCTGGACACTAGCACTCCCAATTTCCCAAGAAAAGCTGACAATCAGGGGTTTTATTATGAAACTCCCCACATTTTAAACTAATCTGAGTATTTTCAAATACTATGCAAGGCAAAACAAACATGAGTGGATTTGGCCAAGAGGGTTAACCTCACTTGACACATTTCCATGCTGCCAACCTGCCCCGAGCACTTCCAAAGCTTCGAATCTGAATTCACGTGATGGTGACAAATCTGGAAAGATCCTGTATGCTACTTGTGAGGATTCTCTCCCTTCCTACACTTATGTGGGCTTTCTCTTTGCTTTTCTTTTTAAAGTCCTAAATATTAGAGCATCACAAAATAAACTCAAAAGGAAATTTTGTTGTTTTTCTTCTGTACTTTTTAAACTGTTTCTTTCCCCTTTTATAGGAAAAGGAACATGAAACATGCCATGAGAGACATGGCATAGGCAGAATGTCATTTACACAAAGCCAAGGTGTAAAGAGAATACCACTTACACAGTGCCACTGCGGGGGCGGAGAACCCTTCACACAGAGCCATGGCAGAAGAGAAGAGCACACAGACAGCTGTGGCATGGGTGGACTCTCTCATGAACAGAGTCACAGTACGGGCAGAATCTTAGATAAACAGCCACAGTGTAGACAGATTTCTACACACAGAGCCATGCCATGTTAACAGCAATGGGACAGGCGAAGAGAAGGCGATCCACAGAATGGTTTTCTTTAACCCCTTTCCCACTCTCCTACCTGCTCCTTCCTCATACACCAGGACCCCCATGCAACCTCCACAACATCCTATAGGGCCAGTCCTTCCCACACACACACCCACATCCCGCTGCAACCCTGTAAGTCTGATGCTCAGACCCCATCAACCCCTCCACAGCTAACTAGCCTTCTGCCACTGTGTAGCACACGGCTTTCTTAGGCTCTCGCTGCTTCCTTTGATAAGCTAGCTGTGCTGAGCTAAGAGATGTTGTTGGTCAGTAGCCAAGACCATATAGCCAAGTCCCCTGACCTCTACTGCCTCTGTTTCCTCATTGAAATGAAGACCATGTTCCCTACTTGATGGGGCTGATTTAGGCAGGTTAACTTAGACCTCAAACATAAGAACCAGCAGTGTCAGCTTCCCTAGGAACTTGTGAAAAATGCAAATTCTCAGGCTTCAACCCAGGCCCACTGAATCAGAACCTCTGG